TTAGACATTGCTGGTCTAGAACCCCACTGTTTCAGAACTTCCCTGGGGTTAGACTTTTATTTCAGCTCTTTCCTTGGAGTGTCAGGTGGAAAGAATAGGGGGTTGTTCCTCCCAAAGACTGCATCTTAATTTTACTGCTACTGAGAGGTAAAACAGAATAATAAAAAAATTCTGTATTATATAAAGAATATTTCTGTTTTAAAGAGATGATTCTTTTTGTGTGCAGGTTCACAAGATGCCCAGTAAACCATTGTTTTGGTTATTTGTTCTTGTTGCTTTATTGACCATTCTTCATTCTCATGACCACTTTTTTTTTAAAAACACACACTTTATTGAAGTATGATATACATACACAAAAGGCATAAATTGTAAGTGTATACAGCTCAATGAATTTTGCAAAGTGAACACACCCATTGTTTATATTCAAGAAAAAGAGTATTACCAATAGCCCAGAAACTCCTGCCTTGTGCCATCTCCCAATTGCTACCTGCAAAGTGGAATCCACATTAAACACCATAGATTAATTTTACCTATTTGTGAACTTTATATAAATGGAATAATAAGTATATAGTTTTGTATGGCTTATTTTGCTTAGAATTATGTTTGAGAAACTGACTCATACTGTTGATTGCAGCTTAGTTCTTTCATTCTCACTGCTGGGTATCATTCCATTGTGTGAATATATCACAGTGTATTTGTCCATCTTACAGTTGATGGAAATTTGGGTAGTTTTCCATTTTGGGGTCATTAGTTATGAACACTTCTGTACATGTCTTTGGTGATGTTATGTTCACATTTTTGTTGATGTATATAACAGAGTGGAAATACTAGGCATACATCAGTTTAAATAGATAACCACCAAACAGTTTTCTGAAATGGTATACCACTTTACACTCAACTGAAACTATGAGTTTTGGTTGTTCCATGTCCTCAGTGACATTTGGTATTTTGGGTTTTTTTGAGGGGAGGTGGTGGTGTTGTACTCACAAAGATGTTCATCTGTTCTAATCAGGTCTTAAGCATAAATGTATGGTATCTCATTGTGGTTCTAATTTGCATTTCTTGGATGATAAATAAAACTGAACACTTTTTTCTCATGTTTATTTATCTTTGGATATCTTTCTTTATGAAGTGCCTGTTAAGTCTCTTGCTCATTTCTCTGGTATATTATCTGCTTTTTTCTTATTGGTTTGTAGGAGTTCTTTATATACCAGATAAAAGTCCTTTGTCATGTATGTGAATTATAGATACGATCTTCTATTCTACAGCTTGTCTTTTTACTCTCTTAATTATGTCTTCTGATTAAGTTATTCATTTTAATGTCCAATTTAACAAAAAAGTTTTTGTTTATGTTTAGTACTTCCTTGTGTCCTGCTAGAAAAATCTTCGCCTGTCTCCAAGATTATAAGTATATTTTGCTCTTTTCTTCCAAATGTGTTTTTGTTTTATCTTTCACATTTAGCTCTATAATCCATCTGGAATTAATTTTTGTGTATGGTGTGAAATGAGGGTTAAGATTCCTTATTTTTCACGTGGATATCCAATTAACAGGCAGTGCTGTGCAATCTCCAGTATAAATTAGTAACTTTAGTGTATGAGTCTGTTCTGGTCTCTCTGTTCTATTGCAACTTTTTTTTTAAAGCAAAGTAGTGTATGTGTAGGAAGTTTTTAAGAGGGTGAAATGCTACAGTTAATTGGAATTAGTTTATTCACAATAACCTAGGAAGCAGTATTTGGACATTTATCCTTTAAATAGAAGAAGTTACATGTTATCAGTAATAAAGCCAAGCTTACTTATCACAGCCTCTGAATTTCAAGCATATAATGGGTTGTTTATCTCTAAATTGTTCCAATTATATATCCTTATCAGTAAATGATATTTGAACATGTATATATAATTCATATGTATACATATATAGAGAGAGATTCTATAATGTATACTATATAGAGATATATTATAAATTATAAAAATATATAGATATTAATATAAATTATATGTATGTATCTATAGATTCTATAATATGTACTATATATAGATATAGATTACAGTATAGATCTGTATATAGTATACGTGTACTAATATGTTATTTTCATTATAACACACACAAAAATTGGAATTAAAAAGAAAAAAATAGAAATTCTAATACTTTCTTCCTACACCTCTGTGTCAGGCAATGTGGGCTGGATTACATGTACTAACAACCCTCAAATTTCTGTGGCTTAAAAAACAACACAAGTTTATTTCTCTCATTCTACATGTCCATTATGGCTTGGCTTTAACAGTCCTCTGCATTGTTCTTACTTTGGCACTCAGACTGATGGAGCAACCACTTTCTGGAAGCTTGCTAGTCCCAGGAACAGAAGGAAACATAATGGGGAGTTAACACTTAAAGCTTCTGCCTAGATGTGACACATGTCACTTCCACTCACATTTCATTGTCCAAAACAAGTTACATGTCCTCACCTAATTGCAGAGAAGAAAAATTGTAACCTTGTGCCCAGGAGGAAAATCCTGTGCAGAGAAGAACTGTGTAGGAGGAGAACTAGAGTATTTTAGAAAGCATTAAAAACTGTCACCTCTGATATGACTGATTTCAGAGAAAGTCCTGGATTTCTCTTTGTCTAAGAAAATAAACACACAAAGACAAGTCCTTTTAGTTTTTTCTCATTCTGTGCTATTTTAAAAACCATACAGTCCTGAGAAATGAGTCTCCTGCAGCCATAGGCATAGTAGTCTCTCTTGCTTAAAACCCACTAATGGCGCTCGTGTGACCCAGACACCTAACATGGCCTGCAACCCCTACCCCTCCTGCCACATGTCGCATCACTTACCGCATACCTCAACCGCCCTGCCTTTCAGTTCCTTGAAGGAGGCATGCTCCTTCTTCTGTCTTGAGTGTGTTTCCTCCCTTTCTCCTTGTTTTCACCTGTATATTCTTTAACTTTTAGATCAAACATTTCCTAAAAGAAGACCTCTCTGACTCCCAGGGTAGATAGTTTTCTCTTTTCTACAGTCTCATAATACTCTGTACTTTGCTTCCAGAGAGGCTGTTTCATCTTTTAAAATAGATTTTTGCACTGTTTGTTCAATCTGTTTCTCCAATTAGCATGCAAACTCCAAGTCTGTTTTGCTCACCACTGTATGCTACTCCTTGTGTTTAGCCCACTTACTGGCGTATAATAGGATCTCATTAAATACTGAATTTAGTTATATTTTATGTCTGTGACATTTATGTAGTCTATATAGAGAATGTCTGAGACATTTATACAGTGCATAGCGAATGATTTGATAGTAAGAAGTTAATCACACAAGCTGCAAATACACTCGTGCTCCATGCCTCTGTATCTTGGGGACTCTAAGAGATTCCAGAGTAGGAATACTTTTCCTGTTCTCTCTGGGTTAGAATATACCCTCACTTAAATTTTCACGTTAAATGTTTCTCCTTTTGCCACTTCTAGAGTGATATTTTTATGTTTCAGTTGAAATCCTTATAGGATATATTACATTTAACATAAATGGCAGTAAAAATGCCCAAGCAATGAGTGTATTAAATAAACACAGTGAATAAACAAATGAGCTGTGTGATATTAAGATGTGTGTTCTTCTAGCCTTCTGAAGATGGTACTGAATTACCAAAACACAGTGTGATTTATTTTTTGTGATACTTTGCATCAGCAAAAGGGCATATGATGCTTGGAAAATGCTTACCTACAAATTTATGTCCCTCACTATTTGTCTTCATTTACATGTGTTGTAGGAAACTTTAGTCTTTCCTATTTCTCTTTTCAGAAAGAATAACAAATTTGATCACCTCCTTGTTTATATGTTTCATTGTGGACTGCCAGTGCTATTCTCCATTTAAAATGCAAATGTCCTAATAGCGATACACACATGATGATAATCTTTTTGGTGGAATGATATAGACATTATTATCTCTAAGCCTCTGATAGTTGTTTTCCCCATTTTTATTCTAGAAGAGAACTACTGCTTCCCATCAATAAGAAGTGGGATTAAAAGGATCATGAATAAGGATTATATTTGCAGAACCCGTCTATTCAACAGATGTTTATGAAGTATCTATTTTGTGCCAAAAGCTGGAGAAGCTCTGAAGTAGATGGACACTTTGTATATAGCCTTAAACTTTTGTTGCAAATGATAGCATTTTGATAAGAGCTGAGTTTCAGTTTTTGCTAGCTGTGTCAGTCTTCTCACCTATAGAAAAGGGATGATAAAAACCCATCTCATAAAGTTCTGTGAGGAGTAAATAAAACAGTGCATATAAAGCACTTATTTCCCAGTGCCTGATATATAATAAGCACTCAGCATATGTAAGCTGTTATGTACTGTGAGGCTTTGTCCACAGTTAGCCTCTTAGCTATTTATTTTCCTGCATTTCTTCCTGCTTATTTTTTCCATATTGCCCTCAGAACTAAATTTCTACAACATAGGTCCAATTGTGTATCACTACCTCTTCGATGCCATCTCCTCGATATGGCTTTTTTGTCTCAAGAAGAATGTCTCAAATACATGGATGGCATCTAGCACCTTACCATCTGACCCTGGCCTCTCTTATCACACGAGCTTCTGCCTTGGCACCCCCACTGGGTTGCAGCCCAGATAGGCCACACAAGTTATATTTCACTGCGTTGGTTTATGCTCCTCCTTCTGCCTAGAATTCCTGCTGAAGGTCTTGACTGCTTTTCTTGCCCTCAACCTAAAGAAACAGTTCTCTATGGGCAACTTCAGAGAGTACTTTTATTCCCAAACAGAATTTTTTCATCCCTGTCATTTGTGTCTCTTTAACATTTATCACATTATTAGAGTTAATGATATGTGTCTTGCTCTCCCACTGGCTTGTGAGTTCCTTGAGAACAGAGACCATAACTTATTCATCATTATATCACTGGAACCTAGTAGGCATGCAGTAAGAACTTGTTGAAATAATGGGTTGAGATTGGGTTACTTTTGTTTAAATTTCAATGTGTCTTTATTATTGTAGGTTCTGGGCCTTGTCCAAAATATGAGTGTTTTCCAGTGTCCAAACTGTAAACACAAAACTCATATTTTTGGTGCTGATGGTGCAAGGAAACTAGCACGGACCCTTGATCTTGATGTTCTAGGTAAGACCACAGGATATTCTTTTGCAGGGGAAAGTGGAGATGAGGCATGGTGATGAAGAATATTTCAGAAAATGATGAATTGCTTTTGGCTTTGTGTTTTGAATCAAGTTATTATAGCCCAGTTCTGTGTGCTAACCTTTCTTTGGCTTTTTATAATACTTCATTAGTGGAAGGCATTTTGTATAGGAGGTTTGTTCTGCCAATTATGATAATTTCTGCTATAGATTAAAAACTGCCTCTAACTTGAATTTTAGAAGAAGGTTTTGTGTTCTGAATACTGCGATTTGAAGTCTACATTTTAAATAATGGTCATCAGTTTGTGAAGTTGGGAAAACATCTCTCAGTATAAACAGATACATACAAAAATACCTTTTCCGTATGTTATAGCAACCTTTGGAAGCATCAGTTCTTGGTATGATTGAAGAAATGCCTTCCTGATCAGTTCTGAATTTATTAGTCCTTCTGTTCTAGAAAAACAGTATTTTCTGTTTTCTGTAAACTTTATATATGTTTGCCATGTCTATCAAATATGGCACCTGAAACTTACATTGTCTATACTGTTCACATTACAAAATTGAAGGTAAATTAATTAGCGTTTTGAGGAGAAGTAAAATCATGTGTTAGGTGAGCAAAACACAGATTTGGGATACAACATGATTTTTATAAAATCCACAAGCCAGGAGGTGGTTATAGCTCGGGGTTAGAGCGTGTGCTTATCATACATGAGGTCCTGGGTTCAGTCCCCAGTACCTTTATTACAAAAGTAATAAAATAAAAATTAAAAAATCCAATTACCTCCACTGCCCCTCCCCCTCAAATCCACAAGCAACTTAATGGACTTTTTAGGAAACGTGTTTTGATATTCTACTTACGAGTTTCTGTTCTGGGCAAAGGCAGATGTTAGATGCTGAATAAGAGAGACATAGAGTGAATTATTAGTTTTAGGTAGTTAACAATTAGAGATTAAGGAATTTCAAAACATTCTTTATTATAATTAAGTCTCTGAAAGTTGATGTTAAATGTATTATTGTTATTATGCATTTGTACTGTAGCAGCTACCACAGTACCAGGTGAATACTAATGATATATTTTGATACATTGCTATAATTATAGCTACTAATTATATTCTGCAACTGCTTTTCATTTAACTAACCTAGAAAGTTCATTTTCCAAATCTGCATAATAACATAACAGATTGACATTCACTTATATAATAAAGTAAATGTGTGATTATAATGGCATTATTGAATTATGATGACACTACTATAATTCCCTAATTTATGAATGGGTGGTACAGTTTTGTAAGTCGGTTATTGAAAATTTGAAATTTGAATCATATCTCCTAGAGAAAAGATCTCACATATGGAAATTATACTTTAACCAACAGCTCACCAATATATAGTTGCCTTAAATCTATATCAGAAACACTGACTACTGATCACAGAAACTGAATAGTGCCATAGACTGCTATATCTAATTGTGTTATGGAAAAATAATTTACAGTTGTAACACAGAGTACATCTCCTCCTTTTAATGTGGTTATAAGGACTCTGAGGGATCTCCCATGAACTGGTGCAGGGGCTCTGACAATGAAGAGGTTAAACTCGAAATGAGGAACTGAAATCAGGGGAAGAGTTCTCAACAGCTATGGCCTCCTGGCTGGGTGAAACCACCCCAGGACCCTTACTTGTCCTTGACTTGACTTTCTAGCTACCTCTTAATTTATTTTCATTCATGGGGCTGTGTTTCAACTGATTTTTTGTTAAAATGGCCCTTTCAGAACTTTATCCTTATTCACCTAGAGGGACAGTTTATGCATAGTAGTTATAGCCTCAGATCGTCTCACAGAAACCCCTTTAACTTTTATCTCTGAAATGTGCTTCCTTCAGACCTAGCCCTCAAAAATACTTTTGAAGGCCAGGCTGAACTGCACCCACACTTAACTACTTTTACTCCTTTTCATCTTTCTCCATTTACTACTGCTAGCCCATTACTGCTCTCACCGTGCCATCTATTTTCTAGCAAGGTGTTCCTCTTTTGAGTTCTCCTCTTCTGTGGATTGTGAGTCTCTGGAGGGCAGAAATGATGTTGATAGGTGGCTGCATAAAGGAGAGGGCTTTATTTTTCCTTTCTCCCATTACTGCTGTAGAAGTGGAAGCATTCAGAATTTCTTACTATTTAATCGCAGTTCATAAATCAAGTAAAAAACTTTATGGGTTTCTAAGTATTTTCTATAACGTATCTTCCCTTGCCTGTGACAGCTTTCTACAGTCCAAAGTTCATCTATAGAACAGACATCAAATTTACTGAAAAGCTGGTCTTTAAATGGTTACGGAAATATTCATGTATTTTGTCATTTGGCTATTGAACATTTAAGAAAGAGTTGAAGAGTTGGTTAAGATCTCAAAATTTACTGATAATGGTTGATATTTTTAAGACATTACCTCTCCCTAAAACAGAATATATACGCTTGTCAAGTGTAGATGGAACATTCTCTAGGATAGACCACATACTTGGACACAAAAGAAGCTTCAACAGATTTAAGAGGATAGAAATTATTTCAGGCATCTTTTCTGATCACAATGGCATGAAACTAAAAATCAACCACAGAAAAACAAACAAGAAAAAAACAGCTGCATGGAGACTGAACAATATGCTACTAAAAAAAAACCAATGGGTCAATGATGGAATCAAAGAAGAAATTAAAAAATGTCTTGAGACAAATGACAATAAAAACACAAGCACACAAAATCTATGGGATACAGCAAAAGCAGGCCTAAGAGGAAGTTCATAGTGATACATGCATTCCTCAAAAAACAAGAATAATCTCAAATAAACAACCTAATCTACCACCTAAAAGAAAAAGAAGAACAAAAAAACCTGAAGTCAGCAGAAGGAAAGAAATAATAAAGATCAAGGAGGAAACAAATTAAATAGAGATTAAAAAACAATGGAAAAAGATCAATCAAACCAGGAGCTGGTTTTTTGAAAGAGTAATCAAAATTTATTGATAAGAGGAGCATTAGATATCTGTTCCACTATTGCTTCATAATATAAATTGTGATAGGTTTGTAATTTTGTAGCATTCTTCTGTATTATTTACATTGCCTGGCATGGTGCTGAATGAATTCTTTTTTTATTTTAACATTGTTTTATTGAGTTATAGTCATTTTACAATATTGTGTCAAATTCCAGTGTAAAGCACAATTTTTCAGTTAGAGATGAACATACATATATTCATTGTCACTTTTTTTTTCGCTGTGAATGAATTCTTTATAGAGAACATACACATGAACACATGTTTCAGTAACCTTTGCATGGGTCTGGAGTGGTTCTAAGAATGTTGAGTACCACGGCAAGTCAACTCTTCTACTTAAAACTCCATTTACTGCATTTTAAATCTCAGCTTTTTGAAAGACTTCATCTGCGATGGTGTGATAGACTCAACTGGATGATAGATCAGAGCATTTTTCATCTAAATTCTACTACCTAACAGCAATATATCCTCAGGAAAGACACACATCCCCTCCAATCTCAAGTCTATAAATTGGAGGTTCTTCTTATATGTTTCCTGAAAGATCATCAAGCTCACAAGTTATCTATAATGCTATGTAAATTAATACATAATAAAAGAAAAATAATTCTAATCAAGAGGCAAATAGTTGAGATAACAAGTCTGGTACTTTTCAGCAGTTCTCTTAGCTCATTCATCTGCCATCATCAGGAAGATTATTTTGTTGTGCTTTTTTTGAACTACTTTACCTCTTTTCCTCTCCAGTTTCCTCCTATTATGTGACATATGTCTATATCAGATATTATAGGGAGAAATAATTTACAGATGTCTTCCAAGCCATTTCTGCCTGGAAGACCTCCACCAAAGAATAAATCAGAGGCCTATCCCTTGAGTGGCTGCCACACAGCGTTCATATACACATATGTAATCATGGTACTACTCTCAAATGGAATATCGTGCCCCTAATTTTCATTTGAAATTCCTTTTTTGGAGATTTAGCAATTTGAGGATAGTCCAACTCAAGCTGATTTGAATCGGTTTAGTTTAAACTTGTTTCTTTCTGAAGTTCAAAGAATAAAATTCCAAATGCCTATATAAACTTCTGTGGTGCTAATGGATATCTGATGGGCTCTTTTAGGAGATGTTCCCTTACATCTTAATATAAGGGAAGCTTCAGATACAGGCCAGCCGATTGTGTTTTCACAGCCTGAAAGTGATGAGGTAAGTTGCATTTCTAAGTATGTATTTTAATTTCTTTTCACCAGATATATACTTTTTGACATATAGAAAGAAAGTTGGGAAGATCAAGTTTATCTATTCATAATGTATATTTTAAACAAAGATTAGTTAACTTATCTAAACCATCTTTAAGCTACTATTTTGTATGGTAGACATACCAATGCTGGCTCTGAACTATTAGCTAAACAAGTTCACCTACAAAGAATCATCCCAACCAGTTTTCTCATGAAGAACACGAACAGTGAGAACTTACAGAGTTCTTCTCTTGCTGGCTAGTAATATCTAGCTGTGTGAGGTTATTATATTTCAGCATTAGAAGTTCAGCTGATTGTTGGGGGAAGGAAACCTCATATAAGAAAATATTAAATTGAGTATAGGGAAACTGTATAAACCTTTTTAAAAAATTTTTTTTACATTTTTTATTGAGTTATAGTTATTTTACAATGCTGTGTCAAATTCTAGTGTAGAGCACAATTTTTCAATCATACATGAACGTGTATGTATTCATTGTCACATTTTTTTTCTCGCTATGAGCTACCACAAGATCTTGTATACATTTTCCCCTGTGCTATACAGTATAATCTTGTTTATCTATTCTGCATTTTAAAATCCCAGTCTGTCCCTTCCCACCCCCTACCCCCTTGGCAACCACAAATTTATATTCTATGTCTATGAGCCTGTTTCTGTTTTGTATTTATGTTTTTGTTTTTTGTTGTTGTTGTTGTTGTTGTTTTTAGATTCCTCTTATAAGCGATCTCATATGGTATTTTTCTTTCTCTTTCTGGCTTACTTCACTTTGAATGACATTCTCCAGGAGCATCCATGTTGCTGCAAGTGGCGTTATGTTGTCGGTTTTATGGCTGAATAGTATTCCATCATATAAATATACCACATCTTCTTTATTCAGTCATCTGTTGATGGACATCTTGGCTGCTTCCATGTCTTGGCTATTGTAAATAGTGCTGCTATGAACATTGGGGTGCAGGTGTCATTTTGAAGTAGGGTTCCTTCTGGATATATGCCCAGGAGTGGGATTCCTGGGTCACATGGTAAGTCTATTCCTAGTCTTTTGAGAAATCTCCATACTGTTTTCCACAGTGGCTTTCCTTGCTTCCCTCTCCAACTCTTAATGATTTAGATGTCTTCTTTTACAATTTTGTATTTATTCTTTTTGTAATTCATGGCAGTTATCTCCTTTCCAGTTATAAGTTTCTCATTTTTGTAGCATCCTGCTTCTTTTCTATTTAGCCTAGACCTGTGAATATTTCTTTTAGCTTGGGTTTAGAGTTGCTAAACTCTTTAAGTTTTTGCTTGTCTGTGAAGTTATTTATCTCTCCTTCTATCCTAAAGCATAGCCTTGCTGGATAGAGTATCCTAGGCTGCATCTTTTTTTCATTCAGGACTTCGAATATATCTTACCACTCCCTTCTGGCCTGTAGTGTTTTCGTAGAGAAATCAGCTGAGAGCCTTATGGGGGTTCCCTTGTAACTCAGTCTTTGTTTTTCTCTTGCTGCCTTTAGGATCATTTCTTCATCCTTGACTCTGGCCATCTTGATCATGATATGTCTTGGTGTGGGTCTGTTTGGGTTCTTCCTATTTGGGACCCTCTGAGCCTCCTGTACTTGGATATCTGATTCCTTCTTTAGGTTTGGGAAGTTTTCAGTCATGATTTCTTCAAATACCTTTTCAATCCCCTTTGTTCTTTCCTCCCCTTCTGGAACCCCTATTATGCGTAGATTGGCACGCTTTATATTATCCCATAGGTCCC